GCTCTTCGATATATTCGATAGATTTCATATATATATATTGGTATAAGAGCGTGTTGATTTTTGGGCACACCCTGTATATGTGCGCGCGACTGGGTAGTTTCCATCGGGCACGAGCATCAGTGTGGGCTTCGGCCATGCGGGTATCTCCCTTATACCTGGGCATTAACATGGTGAGCCCGTCGGCCCTTCCTTTTCGGCGATAGGCATTGTACTGGACGCAAACTGTGGGGTTTCAGTTGAGGTTCGACGGTGCGCGCTGGAACGCGTCGGGGAGTGCCCTAGCCGTAATTAGTAATTTTGCGAAGAGGCAGGCAGGCAGGCAGGCCCCTGAATTCGGTAAGAGCTTATCGATTCGCTCGGTTTCGCAGCTATATTTCAGCGTACAATTTTGGCAGTCTGACGCTTCGCGACGATTGTTGTCTCTTTTATGTCACGCGGAAAAAATGCGTTTGTTTCGTATCTGAGAGAGAGAGGAGACGGTTCCTTTGTTGCGAAATGCCGATTATAAAGTGCGCGGCGAGGAAAAAACATCGCAGGGAGACTTTTTTATTGTAATATCATCATTTATTGCCTTGTTCGAGCTATATAAGATTTAATAAATATGTCCGCTGTGTAAATTGTGTGTAAAAACGGTAAATGTGCGCAAACATATTTATCTCTCGACTTAACGATCGTTGTAATGACTCGTTATGTATTTTTCTATTCGTTCATTGGCATGTTTTGCAAAGCGAGCTCCGGGACAAATTTTAGATATAACAAGATAATATAACGATTTCACCATCTCGTACGCGAGATACGACGAGCTTAAGCGTGGAATTGGAGAGAGTGTGCCACATTTCAGAAATATTAGCGATGCTTGGAATAGCTCTCATCCGCCGTGTTTCTGAGCGGGCGTATTTCGCAAACGGCTCATTCGAATGGTACATTAAACCCGCTACTTGGAAAATGCAAATGACAGTACAGTTCTTTATTTTTTGAAATTTTTATACGTAGATTTCTCTCGTAAGCTGTTTATTCAATACGATGTGATATTAATATTCTTGTTAGCATCATTCGAGCGATTGGTAGCCGTTCATTTATTTTGCATGCGCGTGTTAATTTCCATAACCAATAACGTCGCAATAACGTTAATGGTCATGATTCATATATAATGAGGAAACTCTTCAATTTTAAAATCCTTAATTCTAAGGAAAAACAAGTACAAAAAAATACGAACTTATATACTGAGAGAACAAAGTTATTAACTTGACTAAATCCGTTCAACTAATTACCATTTTTGAAATTGAAATATTTAAGTATTTAATTCAAATATAATATATTAAATCTAATATGACGTATATTTGACTTAAATACTTAAACATTTCAATTTAAGAAATGGTAACTAGTTGAACGGATTTAGTCAAGTTAACAACTTTTTTTTTTCTCAGTGTAGTTCCAAACTATTTTTGCATGACGGAAAACATATTTTTATTTTTGCATGGCAGGGCTATAGATATTCGACCGTTTCTACCCAAGACCATTACTTGAAATTATGAGTAATAGACTAATAGTTAATATCAATATATACACTAACTATTTGAATGTTCATTGATTTATCTATACGAATAGGAAAAAGAGCCTAAAAAATGACATATTTTACGGTTATTATATTTGAAATATTGCGATTATATTATATTATATATGTATATATATGTATATATATATAGTATTTGACATTACTTCCAAAGCGTTTAGATTAGACTCGAATATTTGTGAGCAGTTCCCTAGTTATTTCGAAATAAACCGAATATTCGAGTAATATTCGGGTGATAGTCGGGTATCAGGTTAGTGTCCACAAGATATCATATACTCGAATATTAAGAGCGCTATATGAATGAAGGAACAAATTCGAAATTAAAAATGTTTTAGCTCTTGTTACTTTTGTTAATTTTGAAATTAATTAATGAAGATTATTCCCGAAATGTTTATCCCGATATGTTTATTCGATAAAAAGTGAAGAAATTGTGAAGAAATGCGATGAAACGATATTCGATAGTTTGTAGTTATTCGATTAGACATGTTCAGTTCAGCTTGGTTTTCCATCTTCGATTTTTTTTTTTTCCGAACGAATCTTGCTATAGATATACATGTCGCGTTGTACACGTGCAGGCATTTCAGGACATACGTTGCTTGTGTGTCCGTTAGGGCATTTTGTGCGGCTGTTCTTCTTGGTGGAGGTACGCGGTATACATGTGTGAGTGCGTCGAATACATGCATACGCATGCATTCGTGTCCGAGTACGTTGCACCGGCTGCTATGCGCTGACACGTCACATCGCTGAAGCGATTCATTATCCCACGAATTTTAACTAAAGTAAGATATCTGTTAAAATTGGCGAATGTCCAAGTGTCGTGTTAATTGTACCAATTCGAATCCTATTTTAACGCGTATGGAAAATATCTGTATTTTTATGAAAGAAATATTAATGCGAGATTTTCATTTTAATCTTAGTTTAATCATATTCAATTTAATCGTGTGCTTTAACATTTTAATTAATACGTGTGCTAAAAATTTATCATGGGCATTAATTATTTATTAATTCATGAATTAATGTTACGAATAATTATTTTATCGATTCTTTATATTCAGATTTTTGTTTTATGCTATAGAACATTCTATAGATGTGTCACCGACTTGCCATTTCACGCGAAAGTACGAATTCCAATATTTCACCGTGTGCCTTAAATTTCGATTTACGAAAAAGAAATATAATTCTTCAGACGGGGATGAGATAGCGTGAAATTAGATTCTGGGATGTAGTGGTAAATTGAATCCTCGTATCCTTGACGGGGTCGTGAACAAACTCGCCGGAAGAAAAAATATCATTTTCGGACCCGTAATGACACGCGCGCCCCGCGTCATGTTTCCCCCATAATATTCTACATTAGTTCATGCCTGGTCCTGCAGGCCATTATTACCATATAGAGGGTTTTCTTAGCTTCCCATTCGCAATCTGTCCGATCCGTGGCGTTTTTTCGCTCGAAATTATCGCGATAAATATACGTCGAACGAATATCTTCTCCCGTTTAAAGAGAGACACGACTCGTCCTTCTATCGTCCGAAGGAGTTTGATCGATATAAATATCGTCCAACGGTCCCTGGGCTGGGGTTTCGCCACAGAATCGCGCGATGTTTGCGTTTTATCGATTACATGTACGAGAGAAAATGAAAAACGGAAGTGGTTCGGCGAAACGCGCTATAGCACGTCTGTCGATCTTTTGTAAAAAAAAAAAAAAGAAAAAATATTAATAACATTTTCGAGAGTTCGTCATCGCTCGAACAAGAAACGAATGTTTTCGATAAGACTGACGTCATAAGAATGTAAACATGTGATCTTTATTGTGTGTTAATTCGTGGAACAATTGCTTAATCGCCCATTGATTTATCGGCGCTTGTTCTGTTTCCACGAAAAGAAACTGCTGCTTTGTTTGCTTCGGCGCGCATTTTGCGTAATATAATAATAATAAGCGGACGCGATTTATTCCGCGCGATCGCACGTTTATTTGCGCAAGGGTGGGTTTACGTAAAAATTATAATTAGATCCCGCGAGAAATACATATTGATGAATGCGACGATGGCGAACCTTTTAGCCGATGCACATGCGTAAGCGAGGCGCGAAAATCGACGCGCCGCGATATCTCTTTGTTCGCAAAACGGATTTGATTAAATTTTAAACGTAACGCCGTTTTTCCAAAATAGACTCTTTGAATATTTGAATATTTTTGCAATTTTTTTGTTTCACGACACTTTAATCGAGCGTTGATTCTTGAAATGCTTTTAAAGATTGAAAAAAAAAGAGAAGAGGGAAAATCATTAGTTATTTAATGTATTTATTTTATGTATTTAATGTATATCTAAGAAAGATCGAGTGCAAAGTCCTCTAACGATATAATTGAAGATTCCATCTCTAAAGCGTTTCGTCTGCGTATTTTTCAGAGAAAAGGCAATTATACATGCTTGCAAAGTTTTCCAACTAACGCGTAATTTCCATTTCTTAGAGACGCGAATTTAAGACGGCTTGGGGCAATAGTCTTGGACCATGGCAATGATACGCGCCTTTATTAGAACACCCGGTGAAACCGCGGAGGATTACATTACGCGGTTACATTTGCATTAGGCGCGATTATTTACGGTGCACTATTCGCAAAGGATTACTCCGCTCCCTCGATTGTTGGCGATGTCGTTTTATGCGGCGCAGCGCAAATGAAGCTTAACGCGCGAACGTCCAATTTGTCGGCGAATTTTTGCGCACGTAAAGGATTGCCCGTTATAAATACGGGACGTAACGTCGGACGTTTATGGTACCCCCATTAAGTTAGCCCCCCCACCAGCGCTAAATAAGTTTTAACTTACATTAAAATTAGGTGCTAATTAGGTTATGGTCGCGATACTAGCGTTCTAATTTACGACGATCGGCGCGTAAGCCTCCCTTAGCGCGTAGCCGCGAGGAATTAACATAATAATCTCGCATCAAGAGCGGCGCGCCGTCTCGTTTACGTCACGTGTCATCTATAATTAGTTTGCCCGTCCCGAGTTCCGATGATATTTGCGCGACTATCGATACTTTTGTCGCGCGACTCACACGCGTATCGGCACGTTCCGCTTGGTACCGCTTTAAAAGTAACTCGCCGCAGATGCGTCGCGCAGTATATTGATTACGTGCTATCAGTATACAGGGGGTAGATGCATCAGTGAATGACCGGTCACCGATGCATGACCGCTGAATCTACGCTTACTTACTCTCTTCTGTGGTCACGCGAGATAATACATAATTCCATCTTTTCGTACAATACGTACGAAAAGCGAATAAATCTTCTTATCGTTTTTTATCATGAATGCCGAAAAAATCCCGCGGATTTTTCAAACGAAATATAAAAGTTTATATACATGTAACATATACATATATCTTATACGCATGTCGCGAATACCGTATGAGGTGTATTTTTCCGCTGATTTCGTAACTTTTTATATTAAGCGTCTTCTACGCATTTACATGGCAGCAATCTAGAATAGAGAAATTCTTAAAAATGAATCTAATAATTTTTCTGTCGTAAATCGTAAGCGATGGTTTTTCTTAATGACATTGCAAATATTTTTCTAAAGATAAGCTTAGATATTTTTCCAGTTTTTTCCCAACATATTTCTCTTTTTACGATATTTATTGAAGTGTATTAGAAATTTGAAGTTTTTATAGGGTAGCTTCGGTGCATTTGGTTAAGCACGCGTTCTTGTAACGATTTTCGAGATTAAAAATATTACAATATACATCGTAAATCTTGCCAGCATGTCTAGTGAGGAATTTACGCATTATTTCCATTTCGTTTGTGTTTGTTGATCGGCCATAAAATACAGTTGAATGGCTGCATGTAAGCGCTTAGAAAAATGTGCAGAAAACAAAATAATAAGCTCGAAAACATAAAAATAAACTCTCTGTAGCTTCTTAGCAAGAATTTAAAACATGCGATATATATATATAATTCGAGTTTTACTTATTATTGAAAATTAAAACATTTTTCGCACTCGTCTCAATTATCGGATAATTTAAAATAAATTCTCGAATAGAAACATTTGATTTTTTTTTTTTTTTTTTTTAAGTTGATCATATGAGTTGTGCGATGAATATATATTTATTGTCGTATTTTTGCATCACTCTGTACATACGATCATAAGTCTGTCGCGACAGTTGACGCGATTAGCCACTTGGAATTTGCTGTTACTTGGCTATCTCGCAATTTGCCATGAAAGTTTTGGCCGTTTGGCGAATAAGCTCGGATTTCCCCGTTCATCAATCGATCGGCTTGACTCATCGCGCGGAATATAAGCGCGCGATGCACATACCTATGTACTTACTCGCACGAACGTACAGTATATATACGGATTACGAACGCGGGGGCCGGCCGCTACAGAGTGACGCAAAGTTTTGTTAATTTTATTCCAGACTGAGTCATCGCGCGACGTGACCTGACAAATTACTCCGAAACAGTTATCCCGTTGCTACTTATTTCGCTGAAACGGATTACTGCGATTTCACCCATTCACATTCATCAGAGTTCCCTACTTTGTTCTATATATTTGCTATATACAATCCCTTGGCAAAATATGTGGATAATATATCATATTTTTGTGTTACATGTAGGATATTATTTTCATATTTTATATATCATATATTTATTAATTGATTATTATTTTCGAAGAAAGAGAATTATACAAAATTATCGATATAATTAAACAGATTTCCAACGAAAATATGCATTGAATGAAAATATTACATTTACTATTACATGTTAAAAGATCGTGTTTGTTATATTCAACGAGATTTTTAATATCAACTTTTTTAATTAAGATTCGGGAGAATACGACGAGTATAATATGTTTTCTCGCAACCGATGACGAGATCGTCATTCTTGCGTCGAGGTGCGTTTTTTTTTTTTTCCCCCTACCTACGGCCTGTCAGGTGACCGGCCGCAAAAAAACAGTCGTGCTACTTGTTTTTGCACCAGTTTGTTAGGATCCGACGGTTGTCGAGTCGGTTAACTTAAACGTAACTGTACCTCGTGATACCGTGAATCGTTTGTAATGCCGATCAGCACTATTTCTGACAGTCAGCACTATAATTAGAGTACGTCGCGCACGTTAGATAAATGACAGCGAGAACGATGGAGAAGGAGAAAGAGAATGAGATGCGTGCCGATATGATGGATAGATAGCAGGAAGAAGGGAAGACTCGAGGAGGCGGGCTTGAAATCGTGCGATGTTTCCGAGACACTCGGGATAGCGATCGATCGGATGTTTTCGTTCGCCCCTGTATTATTCGATCGGCAATTCTAGCTATGAGTCACAAATGCATTGTGCAATATTGCGTACTTAGTTGCGATCGAAGAGAATTACGTGAACTTACACAGCATGTTGATAGCAAAGAACAAAATACTTGTCGGTTATATCAAACACGATTAAAGAACTTTGAGATATGAACTCTCAGTAATTTGTATGTGTGATACATCTTTCTTTAATGTATCATATATTGAAGCGATTAATATCGAAAATTAAACGCTAAAAATCATGGCGTTGCGGGAATTTCGATATATTATATATTATTTACTATTTTTCATTTTTTGTAAGTCATCTTGCATGGTAATTCTCATTTTTGTATTTGTAGCTATAATAATTTTTAATATAAGACACGCGTCTCATGTTGAAATTTAGATAGATTGAAGAACTACGGATCCCTGAAATAGTCCCAAAATCGGTGGATTGTTTCGAAACATTTAATATAACCGAATGATAAGAACGGGGCAGCAACGAGCGACAAGAGTTCTCAGCCACGGCAGCTGAGACTGGAGAAGAGAAAAGACCGTTCTCTCAAGACGGTTCAATCGGTAAATCCTAAGAAAATTGTTTGTTTTCAAGACAAATTTATTGAAAAATTTAGTGAGAAAGTGAAAACGGAAAGCGGCCACTTGCATTTACGTGACGATATCTGGTGACAACTTTTTTGAGAATCACTGACTTAAACTGACGTGGACGCAGGACGAAGAGGTGGCTCTAAAATATTCATGATCGTTGGCCTTACTTTTCGTGTTCTCTGCGATATTTTTTGTCGCTATGGCGATTTTGTACATTGTTGACGAGGTACGTTACAAATATTCTAATAAGTAGCATCATTATTCAAATATTTAAAGCATTGATCACACATTTTAACTTTTAATGACGGCTTGCCTTGTCAGTTATCTCTTTTCAATGATTAGATTTCCATTTTCGAAACTTTAAAATATGTCAGAGTATGACAATAAATATAATAATGATAATAACAATATTAAATATAACAATAAATAAAAAATTTAAAGATAATGAAAAAAAGATTAGATTCCTATTTGTAAAGCTTTATAAAAGAGTAATAGTAGTAATAAAATAAATATAATAGTGAATAAAATATTAAGTCACACACACACACACATGCACACACGTACAAAAGATCAATCGGTATTAGTGAGATTGTTCCTTTCTGATTACAGGGAATGTATGACATGTTCATCCAAACACAGCAGACGAGTAGCGTCAACGGCAGCAGCAGCAGCAGCAGCAGCAGCAGCAGCAGCAACAACACCGTTCACCACCACAGCAAGAAACGCAAGTTGGACTACAACGTGAGCCAGCCGGTAATCCAGCACGCATTGGTCCAATCGACCAGCGACTACCAATTGGACAATACCGGTCTGCAACAACGATACTCCGTGAACGGTGCTAATACCGCATTTAGCTCGCTGCACAACAATAATGCGCTGCAGAAGAGTAGTCCGAACCAGCAGACCCTGGTACGAGCCTCGACGATCAAGCTCTTAGACACGTACCAACGCTGTGGCCAGAAGGTTAGTGCGACTCTACGTTTTTTTTCTACGTTGCCGCATTTTTAATCGTTCAACGTACAGTCTGCTCTTCGTGTTCAGCGCTGAATTCAACCCTATAATATTCTACTTTATCCAATATAGAGATTGTACTCACACACACAACGTCAAATTATGAAACTGATGGAATCATATATTATGCAAACAAAGGCTCGCACTTTACTTTCAAGCTTAATTATTATACTTGTTATTATATTATAGAATCCGTGTTCTTTTACACGATGGTCTCCGTTTTATATATTCGTCCTTAAAATGGCCATATTTAACGCTAAATGTGTGATATTTGTTTGTTTTCCTTTTCCAATATCGCGCGTAATCAGCAGAATGAACAAACAATCGCGGCAATGTTTCAGTGTCATTTGTTTGCAAGTTTCGAGTTTTACCGTAGCTTGTTGTTGTTTCGTCATCACTCGTATTCTCTCGAGCCAGCTGTTATAAACACACACGTGTAATTACGAGAGCGCGAACAATCACGGCCACGTCTCCCCCAGCGTATAGTTACAATTTTTTTTTTTCTTAAGCAGACAGGCAGGAAGAGCTTTCTTTCACGGTGTTGTCGTACGTTGTTGTCGTCTTTAGCGCTCCGGCAAATAAAACTTAACGACTACTAACCGCTTATTGCCATAACGGCGCAGGCTCGAGAGTTAGATTGTTTGACTCCGAGACTACGTTTGGCAACGAGTCGTGATACTTCTCGCTTCGCAACTGATGCCTCCTCTTGCTACAAGCCAGACGAAAGGGAAAGGTCTAAGAGATCTCTGGTTTGTAGCAAGAATATAATATACAGTTTGCTCACTTGTCTCATCTATTGCAAGCTTATTGCAGTGGATCTTTCAACTATGTTCTCGATAATAATTGTATATATCATAACGATCGCTTGCTGTATATAAAATTGACTTTCATTTAATTAGGGGCGAAATATCATCCCTCCATTTTATTCCTCGCAGCTTGGTGTGAATTTGTTTCCGGTGTGCGTGGCATGAGTTTGTTTAAATTACGCTTAAGAGTCGTTCTACAATAAGTTAATCGTAAGCAAATTGATCAACCACAGTCGATTATTCCGAGAATATTCGATTGTGATTGGTCAATTTGCTTACGACTAACGATATACGACATATTGTAGAACGGGCTTAACAACTGTGTCGTCTAACTTTCTATCTCTCTCTGTGCTAACATCTCATCTAATAATTGTCCTCTTGGTTCGTCTCGCGCTTGGCGTCTTATCCGCCTTCGAAATTTCCAAATTACATTTTCGCGTTGGCTTGTTACTCGACGTCGATTCGATAACATCGGACGGCTTGCAGTTGCACGCTATAATGTCCCCGCTGATTCATTGCGTTCGTCTCCTGACATTTTCGTTCCACCGTTCGCGATATACAAACGTCTCGTAATATGCTGTCGCTACGTCGCGCAATTTTTGTCGTCTCAATTGTTGTAATCGAGCAACCGCATCTCCGAGTTGGTGAATCGACGCACATTGAACTGTATGTAATCTGGCGTTCGTTCCTTTTAAACGACCAAGGTACGACCGAATCTCTCGGTACGCTTGATTCGCGTACTTTGTAGCGATCAATAATAAATGTCTATCGACGCGTATCGTAAATCTTCGAAACGTTTGATTCGATATAATCGTAAAGTGCTGTGCATATGTGAAGGTTAACGAGCTTCTAATTACGCAGAATCTCAATTATCTCGACGCTCATTAATTTTTCGATTCCAGGAGCAACGACGTACACGCACCTAACGTCGCAGAAAAAATGACGTCTATTACCGGGAATTTATAGTTACTACTACAAACGAATGCGCGATATATTCGTGGCTTATATGTATTTATACGTCATCCTCTCGCGTATAACCTGCGCGATCGATTCGAGAATCCTCGACCGTCGAGAATCGCAGCCTGTAGTAACTGTTAAAATGTTGTTTGGCAAAAAGAGCGTTTGTCGTTGGAGATGAGATTAGCAGGATTCAAAGATAGTTTCGGGGTTTGGGATAGAAAATTTGCATACATCTGACGGAGCGAGAGTTTGTTATTATCCGGAAGAGTTCTCTTTCTCTCTTTATTCCTCATCCGAATGACTCGGTCGGCTTATTAACGACGAGAGTGCGCGTACATTGAAACTGCGCACCGGCGTAAGGATAATTACAGAGCACAACGATCATGTTTCGGTTGTCTATCGTTGCATCGGGGGTGTCACGAGCGCCGGCCGGCGGCGTAGATAACGTTTCCGTATGGCGTAGTTAACTATCGATTGCTTTCAAGGCTCCCATTACATATTTCATGCCGACCATCGTGTACGGACACGCGCGTGATTCTACCGGCGAGAGTCGCAATTTCGGTGACTATGCGCGACGAAGATGGGGATTAATTAGCCGAAGATTCGCGGGAGATCGCGATCGACGTACGATCCTCTCGATGACGATCGACGAGCGAGCGTTGATTCACGGCTGGCGATGTTTCATAGCGCGCAAGGATGCGCGATATAACGTTCGCGCTATAAGTATCCTCGTTCGTTAATTAATCTCCAACGATGCGCGAATCACGCAATCGGCGGCGATCGAAGCTCTCCTTTGCGTCGATTGCCGGTGTGGAAAATTTCTGGGATTTCCGTTGCACAGGTAGTACGTACTACGTACGTGCGCGTCGAGATATGCGTGCGTTGTATTGCAACTGGCTATATCGAGAGATCTTGATTCGTCGCTATTACTGTTCGTCGTTTATCCGTCGTTCTCCCGTTTTGCCCAACTCGAAGTTCTCCGTATTTGACGACGATCTTTTAACGTCCAAAAATTTTTGTATAAGGTATATTCCTCCTACAGAGAAAAACTTGGTCGAGGGAGGGTAATGGTGACGGCCTGGCAGTCCACTCCGCCAACGCGACGAATGCGGTGGGTAGTACTGTAGTGTCGCAGCACCATACCCAACAGCAACAACAGCAGCTGCAACAACAACAGCAGCAGCAGCAGCAGCAACAGCACAACAAGCAGACGAGCATGACGGCGCATAGCAAGCAAGTGGCCAACGCGGCCAATGGGAACGGTGGCAGCAATCCCCAAGGCGACGGGGATTATCATTTGGTGCAGCATGAAGTCCTCTACTCCATGACCAACCAGTACGAAGTCCTCGAGTTTCTCGGCAGGGGTACTTTCGGACAGGTAAGAAAAAACGTTTGTAATATTGTCTAAATATGTGAAACTATGAAAGTTGTGTATAGCAGTTATTATATTGCCTAGCAGCTATACGAAGATAAATTGGTTTCTTGCAGGTTGTAAAATGTTGGAAAAAAGGAACAAACGAAATAGTAGCCATCAAAATTCTAAAGAACCATCCATCGTACGCGCGCCAGGGTCAGATTGAGGTGGGTATTGAAATAAAAAAAAATATATATATATAGAAAAAAAAGAAGTACATTATATAGAGGCAAACGAAAGCATTCATAAACGTTAATTGCGCCCTGTGTCATACGGAACAATTTATCGCATTTATAGGTCTCCATCCTGTCTCGACTTAGTCAGGAAAATGCGGATGAGTTCAATTTCGTGCGCGCCTATGAGTGCTTCCAACACAAGTCACACACCTGCTTGGTATTTGAAATGTTGGAGCAGAACCTCTACGATTTCTTGAAGCAGAATAAATTCTCACCTCTACCCCTCAAATACATCAGGCCCATTCTCCAACAAGTATTGACCGCGCTGTTAAAATTAAAGGTACGCGTTACAATCGTGCTTACATTCACATTACTCGATCGATGATGAGAATTAGCAAGTGCTTAATAACCCTTTACTTTTACAGCAATTAGGATTGATACATGCTGATTTGAAACCGGAGAACATTATGCTAGTGGATCCAATGCGTCAACCGTATCGAGTGAAGGTCATCGATTTCGGATCAGCTTCGCATGTGTCTAAAGCCGTTTGTAACACCTACCTGCAGTCGCGATACTACCGCGCGCCCGAGATCATACTGGGACTTCCATATTGTGAAGCGATAGATATGTGGTCGCTCGGATGTGTAGTTGCAGAGTTGTTTTTGGGATGGCCTTTATATCCGGGCAGTTCCGAGTATGATCAAATTCGATATATAAGTCAAACGCAGGGCCTACCGACGGAGCATATGTTAAACAACGCCAGCAAAACAACAAAATTCTTTTACCGGGACATGGACAGTATGTATTTTGATGCGCAGAATAATAATATTGAATAGCGAGCATAAGTTTTTCACAAAATCCATATATTTTTAGGCACATATCCATTTTGGCGGTTAAAGACACCAGAAGAACACGAAGCGGAGACTGGTATCAAATCCAAGGAAGCGAGAAAATATATTTTTAATTGCCTTGACGATATCGGTCAAGTTAATGTACCGACTGATTTAGATGGCGGTCAACTCTTGCCAGAGAAAGCGGACAGAAGAGAGTTCATTGACCTCTTAAAGAGGATGCTTACAATGGACCAGGTAGTAATATCTAATTGATGCTTTTAATTAGAGAATGAGATTCTTTCATATATATAAGAACGTAATGTAGTATTCTTCTCACACCTGTTATGTGTTTGGATTAAAGGAGCGCCGTATAACACCCGGCGAGGCACTGAACCACGCGTTTGTCACTCTGGCACATTTAGTTGATTACGCGCACTGTAACAACGTCAAAGCTTCCGTCCAGATGATGGAGGTTTGTAGGCGCGCGGGAGACTTTACAGCGAGTCCTGCACATCATCAAGCTCCGCCGGCACCTCAACCACCTCCACCAACGTCTTTAGTAGCCAATTTTGTACCTACCACGAATGGCAGTGCAGTGACTCTTACCTTCAACAATCAATTGACTAATCAAGTGCAACGATTAGTCAGAGAGCACCGCACCGCGCAAACAGGATACGACAATCTAGTATGTGTATTTATATATTCTATTTTGTTTTCAATTATATAACATTTTATTTAAAAAATGGATGCATATAATTTATACACTTGTCTCCATTTTAGTATCAAATATATAGTAACACCAGTAGACGGGCAACACAGTACAGCGGGTCGTCTAGCGGATCCAATAGCGGGCGAAATGGCGTGCACGACTTTCCGCATCAACTGGTACCTAGTATATTGTGTCCACCCCCCGGATATCAGACGATGCCAAGTCCTGCAAAGCACGTAGTTGTTGCTCAGGTAAAAAAATTGTGATGCTATTATATATGAATAATTAATGTTTGTTGTATTAGAATGATAACCATTGATAATGAATTCGTTTTTTACAGCCACCGCAACCGCAACAGGCCCCTTTGCAAATTCAACCGTCGATCATATCGCAGCAAGCCGTGGCCGCGGCAGCTGCAGCTGCTCAACAACAATACGCTGCGGTTCCTGTGTCTATGGTCGAAACTGGTCGGCAAATGTTGCTTACTGTAAGTAAAGTAATTTCATTCTTTATTTCTGAATGATAATATAATAGTCTGATATGTTGATATACGTTCATGATCATCATAGAATGCTGTGCAGACATCTTGGCCTGGTGGAAGTCGTCAAATGGCTGCGATCGTACCATCGTGGCAGCAATTACCGCCGCAGCATGCAGCTATTCAACAACCACTGCTCAGCGATGCCGGTGATTGGGGAAGGCCTCTTATCGTCGATAGTTCTGCTATTCTACAGGTAGCACTTGTCAATAAACTGTTTGTGATATTCAGTAAAAAGTTGTATGAAGCTCATTAATATCTGTCTGGCTTACATCAGCTTTTCTTTCTTTTTTTATTCGCGATGTTATTTATTATTGTCATCTATTATGCAATTCTCGCGTTTCACATATGAATGTAAAGCCAGAAAATTCAGATTTTGATGTTCAGTTTTTAACTGATCTCCCTTGTTTTGGGCAAGGATCAGCGGCCGGTATTTCCTGTCACGGAGGTTTACAATGCTAGTGCACTCGTCGAGCATCCTTCGCAAAGCTGGGGCAAGCGTACTGTCACTAAACATCATCATCATGTTACGGTACCACAGCAGACTCAACATAGACATGAACATAAAAAAGAGACGCAACAATTGAGTCCGGTGAAGAAGAGAGTTAAAGAGAGCACACCACCTAGTAGCATGCGACGACACTCGCCGACGACGTCGAGCAGCCATTGGCAGGAGCAGCCAGTGCAATCCCATCATCATAGTAGCAAGCACAGCAGTAGTAGTCACAATGTGGAGCATCAACCAATCGCATCCGTGCGACAGCAGACCATTACAATCGATGACACTCCTTCACCAGCCGTTTCCGTTATCACAATTAGTGATAGTGAAGATGAGGCGCCTGGAAAATGGTGAGTGTACGACAAATGTAGTATAGACTGCATCCAGTATATTAAAAGTAGTATATCAGAGATTTGATAAAACATGATGCACTTGTTTCTGATAATTTTGTAGAGTTCAGATTTAGATATTGTAGATGTTTGATAATCATGTTTTCGTGAATAAATAAAATGCGACAATTGGTTTTTTTTCTGTATCCGTATTTGTAGCATAGAAATTTGCATTTACTGCAATTATACGCAATCTGCCAATTTACCGATCAGATTAACGAATTGGCAAATCAAGACAAGATTAAGAAAATTGTGGAATAAGTTGAAATTAAACAAAAAAAATGGATTGAAAATGCATTTTGTGCTTCTCTAACATTGTGAACTGATTATTATTTTTGTAAAAAATCGATAGTTAAGCACGCTTATCTGTTAGCGCATTATCAGTTGGTAGTAGAATCACGCATGATATCGTTGACAGCTGCGGAGACCGTCAGTGCAGCGCCTGTCAAAGTTTGGCAACTCGCCTGTCGGGCGACGGACGTCCTGTCCGTGAAGAAGTCATACGAAGGTATATTAATGTAATGTGCCGTTAAGGATGTTACGTGATTAACGATAATTAATTAAGTTTTATTGAGAATACGCAGTTAACAAATCGAATGTCATGAGGAACGAAATTGATTTCCTATTTTCATTGAATTTACTTTGTTATTAAGTTTTTATTCAAAATCGATTTTCTCTCTGGATGTGCTTTACTTTGGAAATCTTTAATTCAGTCTATAAATTTTAGAAATTTTTCGTAAAATTAAATGTGCCTATTATTTATTTATCGTGTATATTGTAAATTTTCTAAAAAATTTATCATTATATATATATATATATATATATATATATATATATATTTCATTTGGCTATGTTCGACTTTTTTAGGTATGACAAAAGAAGATCTCGAGATATTGCCACCTGCGATATCCCTGATAATAAAAGATGTCATGCATAGATGTAGAGAATGCCCACCACCAAATTGGCCTATGCATGCATACGAGCTCGTAGATCGTCAAGATTTAGCCGCATTAGATAAACATTTAAAACCATCGTCAAAATTACAATATATCGACGGCGAAACAAAGGATTATGGAATAAAGGATGAACAAGATGATGGCATGGAATTTGATGATATGGTATGTGTGTATGTGTGTGTATGTATATATATATATATATATATATATATACACATGCACATTTTATTTCGGGAACAATAATACTTTCGATGTACTTGGTATCACGGGTGTACTTAGGAATCTGGTTGCGGAGTTTGGCGTGAAACAATTATCGACTAACATAAAGCCAATGTCTCTTAATAACAAACATTGTTGAAAATTAGCATGTAATATTTCACACACGGATGCAATGTTAACTTGCCAATGGTTAAAGCACGCAACGATGACATCTCGATGATTTTGAATAAAGAAATCTCTTTTGCTTGAACTTACAGCACTCAATCGACGCCGCGCGTTGTACAAATGCAGCAGTCAACACACACGAGTAGTCAGCAACACACGAACGGGCACGTTACGCATAGCAGCAGCTCGTCGTCACATCGAGCGCAACGCAAGAATGTCATCAGCTGTGTCACTGTTGGCGATAGCGACGGCGAAGCTAGTCCAAGCCGTACACATGCTCATTTGTATCAACATCTACCGCAACACCCGCAGCATCAACAGACCACGCAGTTGATCAAGCACGAGCCGCAACAGCAACATCACGTTAGCAGGTGAGAATTTATTACAATAAAGATACAGTGAGAAGGATTTTTCGTTAGAACTTCTTAAGATCTTTTTAATCTACTTTTTTTTTTTATATATTTTTAATGATTAAATAATAATGATAAAACAAATTTCTATAAAAGTAAGAAATACAAAAACGACAGAGTACGAGTCAGAGAGTTTTGCTGTCTATATTTTGAATAATTACACAATATATTAAGAGAAACTTTTTGCTTTGGCCACGGTTTTGAATAGATAATATTATTACTATGATATTATTTATATATAATATTTTGTTTATGACATGTATATATTATTAATAAATATTTGATTAACTTTTCTTGTTATTATTTGCAGCAGTAGCTCAGGATACTCTTCTCAGTCACAAAAAAAGCGGCTGTTGGCGAAGGTGCAGTCCGAATGCAACATGGTGAACGTTGCGACGAAACCGGAACCCGGTGTCGAGTATCTTGCTCCACATCCGTGTCACGCGCCAGCTTGCAAAGAACCACCGACCTATCAGGTTAATTAACATTCCTATTCAATCAATTTTACTTTTAATTTGTTTCTATTCTTTTATTTGTAATTTTATCGGAATCGCGGAAACATTTCGTTCATTTATTTCGCGAAACGTCCGTCGAAAAAAGGCTGGAAGGGAAGAAGGAAAGGCCTGGATCACGTGTATGCTATCAGGGTATTTTTTGTTCTTTTTTAGTAATTTTCTTTGGTTAATATTTTTTCTAGGATGACGTCTATGACATGCATGACCACTTCTTGCAGTATGTGACCACGAGTAGTGCGCATCCTCATCTCCAAGAGCAGCATATCGTGTATACGACTGGCACGGACAAACGAGTATCCTGGCCCGGAAAGCGTGCTGAATACAAGCATGAATATGTTCAACCACCGGCTGCACATTCTCGAGACCATCAAAAGTGGGTAGTAGCCAATCCTGTGCATCAATATAGGTGAGAATTTTTCTTCGTCATGATTGTTATCCCATCCGTATTTTTAATCGAAGCACATGATTATGAGATGAAATCTCTTGAATGGTTTATGCGATACTGTATGTATTGACGGTTCTTGTTCGAGCAACTAGTGTGTAACATGTATGCGAGCTTTTTTTTTAAAAATAAGATATTTAAAAACCAACGACGATAAGCACTCAATATACAATTCCGTGAATTATCCGCGACTCCGTAGGATGAAATTTTCCATAAATTAGTTTCTTTTCTCTTTCGAGAGAATTGAAAGAGGAGTTTGCGAATTTGTTGAAAGCGCATGTCTTTAAATCTTTAAATCATTCACGTATTGCAGTAAGGAAATGAAGCGTGTGAACCATAAAAGGAGGGGTGAATTTTGTTTTGTGGTTTGTAGGCAGAGCCAAGTAGTAGGTACGGCAGCCCATCCGGGTCATACCCACAGTCATCACGGGCATCCGGCTCATCTGAGTCCAGGCGGCAGTGGCGGTGGCAGAAGTCCCGCCGGTGGGCCTGTGATAGGAAGTGCCCAGCATTTGGGACAACCTCTCTATCAAGAATACGCTCACGTTCGCTCGAGAGCTCATGCGGTGCCGCCTCCTGTGTACGTTACCGCCGCGCCCTCGCAGGCTGCTACTGCTATTCAGCAGCAACAAGTGCCCACCTATCAGGGATTCACACCCGGGTGGGTAACTAGGAAACTAGTTGATGCATGCATGCCTTTTTTACCATCTATACTATCTTTATTCTAGCTAGTCAATAGTTAATTATTAGCTCTAATATTAACTGTTCAAATATTTATAATTAATGAAATTAACTATATAATTATTAATTGAACAATTAATAAATTAATAGTTGAACTATTTTCCATTTCCTGAGTTTATTCTCAATATGCTCATGAATCGGCCAATTTATGTATTATAAGAAAAATTTATTTCTTTTTTAGAACTTTGTGAAGACTTTCTAATGTGCGTTATCCCGTTTTTTACAGCTCGTCTCCATTAACGTTGTATGATTCTAGTCGAGCGTTGCCACCGCCAGCTCATCACAGCTCGGCCAGACCATTACTGGCAAGTCACGCAGCACATCCGTTGCCTGCGCATATGCAGCCTACAGCTGTTTATGGATTGGCCCCGCTATCGCCAGCCAAACATCAATATCAACCTTCCGGTTTATGGTTCACCGAATAAATTATTTGGTATCGAGTCGTGGATAAGAATCGTACGAGCGAACGTAATAAGTAATCGCACGAATTTTCTGGGAACTTACGAGCCGCTTGTGCCAATCAGCGAATGCGTAATCGATTAAATATAACGGAGAAAAAGGTATGTCGTGCACATTTTTCACATTTTTGTGCACTTGGCCAGTAAGTGGAACGGGGTGGGAGCGTCCGAACTGTTGCAATTTGTGAATACGAATCGATATTGTGCATACACTTATACAGGAATTTACGATCGAGCAAGTTTGCCGAATGAAAAGCAGCAGAGAGCAGTAGAGATGTGTTTAAAGATAAAATTTTTGACAATCCGTCCTATATATATATATATATACATATATATACATATACATATATATAAGCAGCGACCACTCCCTTCCGACCCCCGCTCTCTCATAGGAAGCGAAACGCTAAGAGATCAATGTAATTAGATCTCTTTATATATGTTTGTTACGCCTCTTATGTGTTTGAAACAATCCAATCGCGTCTCATTGCGACAATTTCATAAGGAGATTAGAAAAGAAAAGGATTATCATCTTTGGACAAGCGATTTTATGTAAACAAAAATCTCATTACAATTTTTCTTTTCTTTTTCTTTGTTCAATTCAAAGAGACATATATTTCGGCGTATGCGGCATGCTGTATAAATTTCGTAAGTTTCCAGAGATGCCGAAGTTTTATTACGAAAGGTAAGGTTTATAAGGACATTGTGTGTACAGACCAAAATTTTCTATCGAGATGCCCGGATCTATTTAACGCTCACATGTGCATAGTTTCTCTCTCTATTGTAAATATATATATATATATACATATATAGAACTGGCATGTAACTTAAATAGATTTGGAACATCAATATTGATGATAGAAATATGCACGTGGAATGGTATTGCCGAGTCACGTGTAAAACTGTCAAACAAATACCGTTCATATGCGATTTATATTTGCGATTTAATTTAAAGTACGAATGAGTATGCATTTCTTTACGATATGTCAAAAAAATGTCGCGCGCGCGAGTATCTTATTTTTAATCTCCCTTAACAGAATCATTTTAACGAACTTTATATTTCTTTCGATCGTTGCAATAGCGATCGCGATTTTGTTGTTCGTGGGATTTTTGATTGTATTAAGAATTTCGCTATGGGATATAGTGTGCTATAATCTTTTATGATATTTTATTCATAACGGATACTCAAGACTAACGAGATAATCACATTATTTTTCATAGTTTGCAGCGTGTTACTCACAAAGTATACGTTAACATGTACATATATTATTTAGTTATACTAAATATTCGAAATTTCAGGTAGATATAGATTCGAGTATATAGAAAATTATTCGGGTTGTCGTAAGTATAGTCGTATGAGGAGTACTCGTCAAAAAAATAATACACAAGAAATTTAGAATCAAGCCACGAATCTATTAAGATGATTGCACGACATCCGAATTGACGAAAGCTTTGACGTGCCTTTTTTGGAACAGTCCTATTATTTATTTTATTTTTATGTTATTATTTTCAATCATTTTTTCCATCGTCACCGTCATTTTCATCGCTATAGTTTCATTATCATTCCCATTATCGTTGCTACATCATTGTTCTCATGCCTAATATTTTGTTATAAATCTAAATTGTATAAATAGTATGTTACGGGCAATCTGCCTTAAGTTTATGGTCTAAAAAGCGAAATAGAGTGACCACAGTTTTGAAGGATTCATGAATTGTATATAGGTTTAATGATTTCTCGTTAATATTTCTTTTTCCAATAATCCTTTGCATTTTGGTGGAGGCTGTATTAAAAAAAAAAAAAAATGTACGCATCAAGTACATTGCACAAGTCAGTGAGAAGCAGAAAAAGGAATGATATTTGGAGAAAGCGTTTCTGTTTTCGGAGTAGAGCCGAGAAATTTTTTTCGAATGTTGTGAAGGAGAGAGAAAGGCAGTAACACATCCTATATAAAAGAGAAATGCCAAACAGCAATAAAATATAATAATGGGTCTTATATTAAAGAATTTCTCGCGGATATCACAAATCGTATATTACATACATTTCCGCGTACATAGATTTTTTTTTTCAATAATAATAATGTTTAGAGAGAGAGAGAGAGAAAAGGAGAGAAAAGTTCTCTTTTAGAAATAGAGTTTTCATGAAACTAGTTTTCACAATTCCGTTCTTCTCATCGAATCACGTTCTTCCTCGTTGCATTTTCTACGTCAGTATCTAAACTAAAGTCAGTTTCTTACATTAATGAGAGAGAGAGAGAGAGAGAGAGAGA